GGCGGCCGGATGCTCACTGCCCACCCCTAACCTCATACTCAACGCACCTAAAACTGCCCTGCTTATCGTTCCCCACCTGACTTCCTCCTGCGGTTTCAGTTTTATTAAACGCCTTCCCAGCGACTGAGTTACTCAGGCAACTCCTAGATGCCTCCTCTTCCTACAGACAGAGCCTCCACGCTAACTGGTGACCAGGTCTGATCAATCCTACTTGTTCAACTTCCCTCACGTCTAGCCCTTGTCTTGCCCTGGTTCAAGGCATGTTCAAGGCCTTTACCTGGACTATGGTAACATGCTTCTAACTCATCTTTCTGCCTCAGAAATTGACCCTTTCAACATGGGACATGCTGCAGCTAAAATGCAAATTGGATCATCGCTCCCCCCGGCTTGAACCCCTTCCACGGTTTCCACTGTTGCCTGCAGGACAGTTCCAAAACCCTCCAGCGAAACAGACAAGTATCTGCTGGTCCTGCCCATGCACCAAAGGAGACCTGCCTCATGGCTCAGGCCCTTGTAGTAGAGGTGCTCCCAGCGCACGCTACAGTTTCCCATCTCAAGGCCTTTGTTTATTTGGAGACCTCTGCCTGGTGTGTTCTTCCCACCCTGTTTGCCAGGCAAACACATCCTCATTTAAGCTAAGGTGTTTTGCATATATTACCTAATTTGATCTGTACAACAACCCTTTGTGGTGGGTACTATTATTAGTCCCATTTTGCAGGAAGGAAATAGACTGAGAGGGATTAACTTGCTAAAGGTCACCATACACACCACAATGTGTCAGAGAGCAGGATTTGAACCCCTGCCAAACTACTCTAAAGTCCATGTTCTCAGCCACCTACTATCCTCCCTTCCAGGATGGCACCAGAGACAGTAAGTAGAGCCATAGATTCACTGAAGGTTGACAACCCCTTGGAGAAGCAAAGGTAATCTCAGGGTTTCTAGCACAGAGAAACAGGCTCCTGTCCCAGCTCTGCGCAGATGAGGCCCTCACAAGTGTATGCTGAATGAATGAGCCAAATGGGTAATCCACAACGGGGGGAGGGAGGATACTGGGGGGCAAAAAGCGTTCCATGTTTTACATACTGAGCCAGGGATATGCTGGTGGCATCAAAAATGTGAGCCTGCAGCCTGGGAGGCTGCCACTGTCCCTCTGGGAGTTGGTGATTACCAAGCCACAAGAATGAAATGGACTCTCCAAGGGAGAGCAAAGTTTTCGATATATTGTAAATAAACTAAATAAACATAATGCTGGTTTTGTATGTTTTCGGGACACACCGGCTTGAGAATAACAGATGCCTGAGCCTTTGAAAGTTCTGTGCACCACACCACCGAGGCAGAAGGAGATGGAGCAGAGCCGGGAGGCCACCTCCCAACACCGAGGCCGCCTAGCAGGAGGCACGCCCGCCCTCCACCCAGCTCCAGGGGCAGGCTGAGCGCAAGTTCCAGGGATGCCCGTTCCCTCTCAGGGGGAGGGCAGATTTTCTAAAACCTTGTGCTGCCCATCAAGGGACAGCCCCCCTCCGGGACAGTGACTCCCAGTCCTGGGCAGCCCCGCAGATGTCGAAGGCGTTCATGCCCTGGGGCAGCGTTCACCCTCCCAGCAGGAGGCTCTCTGACTTAAAGGCAGTTTGATTGAGAGTTACCCAACAATGCTTCAGAATTAGCCGTCCTCAAAAGCACAGGCTGTACAAACTAACAAACAGGAGCACTATTCCAGAAGGTACCCCAGCATCCTGCGTGTGGGGGGTGGGGCCTGGAGCCCAGCTGTGAGTGTCCGTGGCAGGGCTGGGGGAGGTGGGGACATGGTCATCTGGCCCCAGCTAAAACTTAGCCAAGTGACCAGCAACTGGTATGGGTGAAAGAAGTGACAGGCAGATCCTTAACATAGCCCCTGACATCAGCACACAGAGGCACAGAGCCACACCCTGACCCTGCCCTGCTTCCCAACGGGTGAGCCGCAGCTGGCCTTTGCCTACCGAAGGTGCTTTCCAAGGGCTCCGCTCCAGGTAAGCGCTGCAGTCCACCCTCCCTCAGGAAGCAGATCCCCTGCTGGCTGCAAACCAGGCCTCAACCAGAGAATTAAAAAATTTGGGGGGATGTCATCTTGCAAAGCAAAAGGTCACCAGTTCGATTCCTGGTCAGGGCACATGCCTGGCTTGTGGGCCTGGTCCCTGGTTGGGGCGCGTGCAAGAGGCAACTGATCGATGTTTTTCTCCCTCTCCTTCTCCCTACTTTCCCCTCTTGCTAAATAAAAAAATAAATAAATCTTAAAAAAGGAATGGGGGGCTTAGGATCCCCAATCAACAGATAAGGAAACTGAGGTCAAAACCACAGAGCTAAGTGATGGTCTAGATTGCTTTTGAAACCAGAGATATTGAATCTAGCACCCTCTCATTCAAAACATGCACACCAAACACCAGCTCTTTGTCAGACATTGTGAGTCCTAGAAATGCAAAGATTAATGACATCATTGTCCCTGAGGTGGGACAGAATAAAAAATTACAGGATGGTCCATACAAGGGGTGTAAGCATAGGAACAAGCTCTCCCCGCCTCCCCCTCCTAACCCCACATGACCATTTGGGCCCAAACCACTCCCATTCCCCTCTGGCAGGAGAAGGTCCATCTATGTGCAGAAAGAACTTTACTGGAAAGGTAGGAGGCACAGAGGGAGCCAGATACTGGTAACTCCACGGGGCAAGTAGGATAAAGGGTTGGGCGATGGAGCTGAGAGTGCGGGCAGGGCCGGGCCAGAGCGGAGAGGAAGCCCAGCCACCTGCCAGCACCAGGCAGTTGTGGCAGTGACCACCCGGCGGGCCCAGCTCGCCCATGGACAAGGCCCAGCCGGAAACAGTGGGGCAGAAAAGGGACGGAAGTTTTCACTTTGTAAAAGTCCACTCTGTACTCTCTACTGGGACCAACCCTCTTAAGAGTTCGACGAAGTGGACGATATGACTGCCACACTTCAGATGGAGAAACTGTGGCCCAGAGAAGTTGTTACTGGCCCAAGGTCATTCAGGCTCAAGTGTCTGAGCCAGGATTCCACACCACTGATTCCACTTTGTTTCTCCAAACTGTGAGTGCCAGGCCAAGATAAGTGACTGAAATAGCATCTTCTACTGCCCAAAACTAGGACGATGTAAAGGTTAGCCATGAGCTGAGGATGGCACAAAGGGTGCCCAGCTCGGTGCTGGCCTGTCAGCAACATGGTCCTGCCACCAGGTCAGAACCAAGGCCACAGCTGCAGCTGGGCCAGATCAGGTCCGAGAGCTAATGCTGCAGGCACTGAGCTGGGAACAAGAACCCCAAGAGAACCAGAAGGGGGGGCACCTGGATCTTCCAATCCCAATGCCTGGAACGGAGAGAGGAGGCAGTCAGGCTCAGGGGAACCTTAGTGTGGGGTGTATGGCTGGGAACTGCTTTTTCCCCCTCCCTCAAGCCTGCATTGTAGCTGAACTTCATGATTCTGCCATTTTCTTTGGGTTGTGCGACACCTTTGCGCACGGGTCAGGGTGCTATATAGTAAGACAGACTCCCTACAGATGAGGACATGGGGGCTGAGAGGGGCTGAGGGACAACCTGGTCTGCGACTGGTTTGGGGAAGGTGAATCCTGGCCTGAGGCCCAGACTGACTCCTGGTCCTGCTTGGGTCCTGCCCCCGTCCCTCTGCCCACACTCCCGGCTCCTTTCTGGGGCCGACTGGACAATGGTCTAGCTTAAATGCCACACGCCGTGTCCAGTTCAGGCTCCGCGAGGGCATCTGGGACTGTAAACCCTCAGAGCACATCTCTCTGAGCACCCGTGACCTCCAGATGCTAAACAGTCCCAGCCTTCTGGATTCGTGTCATTTGGTCATTGACAGGCTGGAGCCCTGCCATGGTGGCCTGGAGCCAAAGCCAGCCACAGAGTCCCCATGGCGTTCGGCAGGAAAGCCAACCCACTCTAGGAGGAGCTGCTCACACCCACGTCTGTCTGTGCGGCCAATCCGCCCTGAAAACAATGAGTAACAAAAGTTTACTCAGTTTACCGAGATTCTCTCACACTCTTCACTCCATCCTCACAACAACCTATAAAATGTAGAGCCAAACCCTCACGTTCCAGATGAAAAAAGATTCACATGTCCCAGTCCAGGCAGCCACGGACTGGCCAGACACACGGTGGGAGGCGGTCGTGGCTGAGACCTGACTCCCATTGTCCTGGCTCTGAGCTCTGGTCTTTGTCACTCTCTTGCCACCACCCAGGTGTTGATCTATCTGTGCTCCTCCAGCCAAAGGGCTAGGAGTATATGCAGATTCACATGTGTGAGAAAAAACACCTGGACACGCAGGTCCCAGCAGAGCAGGTCAGCCTGAAGGGCCGGTGATGGAGGAAACCATCGTCACAAGAAGCGACACAGGTCTGCACACTCCTGCTGGCCCCTTCCTTTCCTTGTAGGTCAGGTCCAGCTGTTTTCCCTACGTCAGCCAACGGGAAGTGCACCCCAAACGCCTGGCCAATACTTCTCTGGACAGTGTCCGGAGAGGGTAAAGTTCACAGCACGTGGAAATGCAGACTCCTGGTGGTATTCAGTGTGCACACGTGCACACGCACACACCGGCACACACACGCACATATGGGAGGACGCGCGGCAGGTCTATCTCACTGCGGGTATTTTGTGGCTCCAGTTCTGAAAGGATCCAGCAAGGGAGAAAAGTCAAAGCAACTCACAGGGACTCCCATGGCACTACATGGGGATCCTGAGCAGATTGCCCCCGAAATCATGAAGCCACGTTTGCCTCTGGATTCCCCCAATGAAGATGATGTCACAGCTGTTCTAAAGCCACAGGGCAGCTCCCCAATTTCCTCTCCAATGAGGGTCCAAACCAATAGAAGCGCCATAATCTTGGACACCATCTTATGAAATCACCCGAGTAGCTGCTTAGAGGGCAATTTTGGGGGTGGACGGGCTCAGCCAGGTGAAAGAAATGGCCACTGCATGAGAGGTGAGGGCCAGGGCACCTACCTGGACTTCACGTGTGTGATAGGCGATGATCAAACCCAAGAGGATGATGGTAGACAAACTGATAAGGCATTTCAGGGCCAGCGAAAACATGGAATCCTGCAGGAGAAACAGAGAGAGAGAATTATGGAGGGCCCGGAATGGGACATCTCATTTTACCCTGAGGCCCTGTAAAGGTGGAGGCCTGGGGGCCAAGGAGGGACTGTCACCAGAAGGTGCCTTGGGCTGGGCCCTGAGCCGGCTCCATCTCAGCAGCAGCTCCCCACCCCAGTCCCTGTTCTCTAGGGTTAAATTGTTTTTGCGTTTCTGGGATGGACTCTACTTGGGTGTGATGCATTATGTTTGTTATACATGGCTAGGTTCAGTTTGCTGATGTGTTGTTTAGAATTTTTGCCTCTATGCTCGTAAGTCATCTGAACACAATTCTTTTTTCGTGCTGCTATTAAATGGTTTGGGCATCAATACTGGGCCAGCTTAGGCCTCTCTTTTCTCTTCGCAATCCTCACCCAGAGGACTCCCGAGGCCCTCCCATCTTTGACCATGCAGGATTTTCTCAGCAATGAATTAGAAGGTCCTGGCAACTGCCCTCATCTCCTGTTTTAGGTCAAGGGCAGGGAGGGAAGCAAGGGTGACAGAAGAGCTACTGAAGAGAGAAGGGGGCTGAGCACAGGAGCAAAGAAGAGTCCTGGGCAGGAGAAGGGCCTGAGGGACCCTGTGGGGAGGATGGGGGGGTGCAGGGGCCCCTTGGCCTGCGCTGCAGCCTTCCAGCCTCGGGGTAGCTTAGAAGACCCACATGGTTGGGAGCAGGAGCTCTGGGGCCAGCCCATGCGTCCAAACCCTGACATAGCCACTAGCCACGTGACCTCTGTGTTCTGCTGCCTCCGGTGCCATATGGGGATTTCCTGCCTCATGGGTCTGCTGTGAGAAATACAGGAAATTGGTGTATATAGAGTGCCTGGCGATGTAAGGGTTAGCTACCACTGTCATTTGCTTTGCTTTCTCTACAAATTCAGGGTGACTTTGTGCCTTCCTGGGTATTTGAAAGCCAAGGAGTAGAGATGGCTCCCAGTCCCAGAGGAAGACAAGAACGCAGCTTTCAGCAAAGGTAGCAGATGAAAGGCGGGTGGCGTGGGTGTCCTGAGAGATGGACGTCACTTGAGAAACAGCTCCTGGGCTCCCAGAGCTGGGGTCACACTGGCACCCGATTTCAGTAAAGCGCCTTACAGTTTACAAGGCGCTTTCACATTCTGTTGTCTCATCCATCCTCAGGACAGCCCTTGGCCTCTATCCTAGCTTTAGAGTATCATAGACAAAGGCTCAGAGAGGCAAGTGGCTTGTGCCAGAGTTCAAAGCTAAGGCCTCTGATTCCCAGGTCAGGGCACTGCCCGTAAGCCCTCGGGCCCCCTCTCCGACAGGAAGCAGAGTAGAAAAGTGAGAAGCATCCATTTAAACAGACCCCGATGACAGTTTACAACAATAATGGAAGGTATTTCAAAGGTAGGATATGATTAACTGCCTGCTGAAACCTATAGTAAAGCTCGTGTAGGGCTGAGGGGAATCAAGAGAGGGAGACATCACTGTCAAGAAAGCTTTCAGCCCTGGCAGGGCGGCTCGGTTGGTTGGACCATCATCCCATATATCACAAGGTTGCAAGTTTGATCCCCAGCAGGGGTGTATATAGGAGGCAACCCATCAATGTTTCTCTCTTATGTCAATGTTTCTCTCTCTCTCTTTCTCCCTTCCTCTCTCTCTAAAATCAATAAAACATATCCTCAGGTAAGGATTAAACAAAAAAAAAAAAGTTTACGGAGACAGAGTGACAGATGGCTAAGATCGGCAGGGTTAGGTAGTGCTGTCCAATATGGCAACCACTAGAGTCATGCCCAAACCCGCGCCCCCAACCATGCTCTGCAAGCTGCGATGGAAGGGAAGCAGCTCTCCCTGGTGTCTGCTGATCTTCCATTCATTTATTGGACATAGTTACTGGGGCCCACTTTATGCCAGGCAGGAGCCAGCACTTGGTGATCCAAGGGACAACTAAGGAAGTAGTTCATTCATTCATTGTTTTGTTTGTTCATAACAATTTCAACCACTTCTCATCTCCTGAGCTCCTACTAGATGTCCAACAGTGTACTAGATGCTGTCAGATATTTATAGAGAGCTCCTGCCCACCAGAAGCTTCCCACATGGCTTATACACAAACTCTGACTGTGCACTGCGGGGTCATCCACTGTGGGGAAAGGTCTCCATTCTGCACTGCCCAGACGATGGTCTAAACATAAGCGGCTTTCCCTTCAGCCTCGCCATGGCCTACAGTTTAGTGAAGGGCAGCCTGCGATCATTGACTCAGCACAGACGGACAGGGCCTGGTGGTGTGCCGCTCCAATTATGGGCACGAAGAAAACCAGATCACGGTTCCAGGCCTTGAAAAGGTTCTGGTCTTCAAAAGCACTACTTGCCTGAAACATGACCCAAATCACAGGCTTAGATGAGACTGAAAGAGCAGGCAGTGAGTTCAGGGACATTCAGACTTGTTTCAGGATAAGACAAACCTCCCTACAGGAACTAACTGAAAACAGCTCACTATGTTTTTGAGCCAGAAATGACCATAACTTTCTTCTCAAAGGGGTCTGCAGGCGCCTGGGGAGCATCATGTCTTTCCCAGGAAGTGGAGGCGGGGGGCGGGGGCTGTACCTTTCAATCTCTAATTTATTTCTTTTGGCAGAAATTAACTAAATCATTATCCAAGTCTATTTCTACCATTTTTAAAGGAAGAAGTGAGGGGATGGGGGCCAGATGCTGTCTCCTCTCCTTCCAGCCTCTTTCTTTTGTTCTAAAACTCGAAGCCTTTACATAAGAGGCAACTCCCGCCCGCTTCATGGTTTTGGCCGATGCAACCTCCCTGGCCAGCTCCAGCCCCAAAGGGCGGCGAGTTGTGCACTGGATCGGTGGGAACACTCGCTGCTTTACAGATCTCCTTGCATTCTCTCACATGTCAGTGAAAAATAAACCATCAACTATCGACCATTTTTAATAGCTGAAAAACATGTCAACAAATTCTAGCTGGACTAGAAATGTTGTCCATTTTGTAAAATGTTTAATTATCATCTTTTCTTTGCTCCCTGAACTCCAATGAAGCTTGAAATTGATATGGTTCTTGGGCGAAGACCGTGACTCAGGACTGGCTAATTAGGTGCCACACACCCCAGGCTGGGCGCCTGCTGCACCTGCTCCCCCACTCACTCCCACATGAGGGCCAGTGGGATTCACTGGGTTGGGAGGGAATCCTGTGGTCAGCTAGTCAACCCTTCTCTCCTGCAACTCAGAAATTTTCAACAACAAAGTAATAATCCTTAATACACAGGAATGCTTAGGAATTATGTCCCAACAGATAAGAGTCATTTCTAGCCCTGGCTGGTGTGGCTCAGTGGATTGAGTGCTGGCCTGCGAACCAAAGGGTTTCTGGTTCAATTCCCAGTCAGGGTGCATGCTTGGGTTGGGGGCCAGGTCCCCAGTAGGGGGTGTGCAAGAGGCAACCACACACTGATGTTTCTCTCCCTCTCTTTCTCTTTCTCTTCCTATCTCTCTAAAAATAAATAAAATCTTAAATAAAAAAAAATATTGGGGTGGCCAAGTAAATTTGAGAAAAGCCAGTGATGGAACACTGTGTAGTCACTTAAAACCATTTCTATAGAGAATATCTGAAGTCATGAGGAAAGGTTTGGGATGTAATATAAAGTGAAAAACCCAGTTCCCAAAACTGTACATATGGTACATTTCTAATTATTTTTAAATTTTTTACTTTTTAATGTAAAAAAAGACTGAAAATACAGTATCATGCTATAAAGTTGCAGACAGGGTACTCAACTCACAGCAGAAGTTTGTATGCTTCTACTAGGGAGAGACTGAGAATTCAGGAAACACCAAATTGATACCATATCATCTCTGATGCTCTGAGTACAATAGGTGCTCAATAAGTACTTCCTGAAACTACTTAATAATAGTACTCTTATTTTTACCTAACATTTATTGAGTACTGAGTGTGTAGCAGGTCTTAGACTAGGCCTACTATACAACTTAACTCACATCCTTATCCTACAGATGAGGTTATAATGTCTCCATTTTACTAAGAAAGAAACTCAGGATCAGAGAGATAAAGTGACTGTTCCCAGGTCACACTATGAGCCCAGGTTTTAGCTATATACCACATCTGTTTACATACCATGCTTCTCCCCTTCCTGCAAACAAACCGGGCCTCCACGTGAGACAGGGAGTCGCTGTCCTTCCAGTGAGGGCGGCTGTAGCCCTCGGGGCACCCCAGAGTTGGAAGGTGAATCACAAGACACCCCCATCCACGTGGTCTCTGTTCTGCTCCAGGCCATAGGCCAGCCCTTCAAAGATCTGTGATTTCTCATTGATGACAACATCTCTAATAAAGCACTACTGTAGGGCTTACCAGGCAAGGGGGGCATCACCAACCCACTTTTACAGAGGAGGAAACTGAGGCTCCGCAAAATTACCTAATTTGTCCAAGGATGTGCCAACAAATGGCAGAGTCAGGACTGAAAAGGCTGGGATTTTCTCCAGTCCCGCCCGCCGCCAGGTTGCATGCTGCCCGCACCGACACCCGCCCCTGCCCCGCTGGCCCTGCCCCGCTGGCCATGCCCCGCGGCCTCCAGCGTCCACGGAGAGGCTCTCGGACCGCTCCAGGCCTTCCGCTCCAGGGCCGTGCAGAGTGTGATGGAGTGCGTTCCTGGTTTCTGCGCCGGCCGCCGTGTAAATTGCTCTCCTGTCTGCCTTGTGGCTTCCCAAGACAGGCCAGAATTGTAATGATCGCAGTAGATCTTCCCAGGGACATTGAAGTTCTAAATGTGTTTTATTGTTGGAACATTTGAAAGGAACAGAAAACTATGCTTGCAGGCAGAGTCCTGGAGGGACACTGGGCAGAAGTGAAATATCAGCTTAATCGAGGTAAACATGTGCAGATACCTTCCCCAACCAAGCTCATACCTCCACAGTGTGTGTGTGTGTGTGTGTGTGTGTGTGTGTGTGTGTGTGTGTGTGCGCGCGCGCGCATGCCCAGGTATGTGGCCCATTCA